TGTCCAATGAAGGCAAGAGTTTGGAGTTAAATGCCATTGTTTTTGAGTTAGAGCCAATTTATGGCAAGCATAGACCAAAACAGAAAAAAGTTCAATAACTCAGTAATCTTTGAGATTTGATCTTATGTGTAGCAATTTTTTACTTTATCTTTTACTTATATCGCCCCTGACATTATTTGCACTAAGGAATAGCCTACTTATATCGCCGCTGAAATTATTTGCACTAAGGAACCGAACACCCTGTATACTGTAAGATCGTTTAATCATAAATAATTTTATATTTTGCGATTATTTATTTCTTAACTACTTTTTTTCCCTCAAGGGTTAAAAGCACCCCTAGCTAAGTTCCTGACTGCTGGTCAAGCCAACGGCAGCCGTCTGAAGTGGGCGTAACAAATGTCTCTTTTAGAGATTGTCAATAGGGTCTTTTTGTTGGTCGGATTCCTGAAAAGATTTAATTAATTCCAGTGTACTTACTTTCCACCTTTCCTTGATCACTGAGCTAATAATTATATAATTTTATAATTTTATAATTTTCAATAGAGGATCAAGCAAAACCAAGTGAAATTTCTAAGTTAAATTAAATAACTACTTGGCAATTTAGTTGAAGCAGACCATACATTAATTGGGTATTAGTTTGGAGATTTTCATGGGGTGAAATGAAACTGTATGCATTTTTGTGTATTTACGTTAATTTAGTCCCTAACCCTTTCGTGCTGGTTGTGACCGATCGTTGCTCGTTGGTCGACATACAGCGGTGGTAGCGGCGCCGGTGGTGTAGTGGTAAGCTTGATTGCCTCTCACCCCAGCAGGCCTGGGTTCAATCCCAATCGGCGCCGCCGGGATGTTCTGAGGCATAACATCTCTAAAGCCGTTGGTCCCCGGTTCATGAGTTGATGGGTCACGAATCCAAAAAAACCGTCTACGTGGTTAATGAACAGACCCTTAAGGGAGAGAAGAAAAAAAAAAACGACAGTGAGCATGCAAAAGGGCGTAAACGCGATGATCGATTCTCTTCGTCGATTTTCTCTTTTGTTAATAACTAACTAGATTTAACGTTTATCGGTGCGTTTGCTGTTGGTTCTTTATTTATTTATTTATTTTATTTCGTCAACCAACGTAGACTAGAACATATTAGAATACAGTTTTGTTTTCTTAAATTTATTTATTTCGTCAACTTTGGACAAAAGGTTAAAATTATAATTTTTTCTTTATTAAAAATTAAGCAGTGTCAGCTTTCCTATTTTTTATGAGTTATAATGCCTTATGGAGTAAAAATATTGTTTTAGTTTATGCCTAGACATTGTAAAGACAATGGTTTCGCAGTATTGATTGTAAGAGGCCATCATGTGGTTTAATGGCCCATATTTTGCATAATTTGTTCGATGATGTTTTAAGGCAAATAAATTTCGATTGCCGAGTAGGTGCATGGAAATTTAATTTTGATAAAAGTTCTGTGGAGTCAATGCGCTGCGAAACTATATCGTTTACAAATGAAACCATTGCATATTCACGACGCCCTTTTAATTTTTTTTTTCCTTTGGTTTGTTTTTTTCCGTCGATCTTGTTTTCCGTGCTGAGCACCAATGCTACCGACGTGCCAGGAAGGCAGCTCCCACACCTGGACCCTACCTATCGACCCATCAAACTCATGAACCGGGGACCAACGGCTTTACTTCCCATCCGAAGGAAGGCGTGATCAGAGATGTTATGCCTCAGAACATCCCGGCGGCGCCGACTGGGATTGAACCCAGGCCTGCTGGGGTGAGAGGTAATCACGCTTACAACTACACCACCGGCGCCGTTTTCACGCTCTTTTAATGTTTGTATGTTTATAAGCATGCAGCGTGCTTCATATGATGGAAGAGGAAATGATGTCCAACCTAATTTACGAAGAGTGTATAATAGAAATTGTTTTTGTACGGATTCTAATCTTTCTTCGTGCGTGATTGAAAAAGGAGACCATACAATGCTGCAATATTCCAGTATAGAGATTTTCACGTCTGGTTGTATTGGTGCGATTTGTGAGAGCGTGTTAGTGAATATCCGAGGAAAATACATAACAAATCGATGTCAAACTCATTTTGACAGATCTACTTTCATACATTTTTTAGGTTAGCCAGAGGAAAATAATAAACAACTTTACACGGCGTTGCCCCCACTAGTGTGCGTGCGTTAAACGTCACTAATCTCTATTGACCTCACATAGGCGATATATAGTGTTTTAATTGTGTATGGGTCCTGAAAGTTATAGCAAAAGCGCTTGATAAAGCCTAGCATGTTATTTTCCCTGTGAATAATTGTGTTGTAATGGTCTATGAAAGTTAGTTTAGAGTCTAAGATAATTCCTAAATCCCTAACTCTTTCACATTTTTCTACATTTTGATTTCCTAGTGCAACTGAAATATTTGAAGTTGTTCTTTTCCTGCTAAATGATATTAACTTACATTTTTTTACATTCAATTCTAGTAGACTTTTTTTGCACCATATGTAGAATATGTGTATTTCATTCCGGAATATATTGATGTCTTCTTCATTTCTTATTTCTAAAAAGAGTTTCATGTCGTCGGCATAAATAAGACATTTAAGTTTTTTGAGAATGAAAGAAATGTCGTTTACGTATAGAATAAAAAGAAGAGGTCCCAAATGAGAGCCTTGGGGGACGCCTGAAGTGACTTGAATTGGACTCGATTTCTTTCCGTTGAATTTAATTATTTGTTGGCGGTTAGTTAAATATGATTCAAGCCATTTTAGGAGCCCTGACTCAATTCCAATTTTTAGCAATTTAAAAAGTAGCATTGGTATGTCTATGCGGTCAAATAACTTGCTAAAGTCTGTATAGAGAGCTTCTACGTGGTTTCCATTATCCATTGCATTCAATGAATAGTCTATAAATTCAAGTAAATTTGTCGAGGTCGAGCGACCCTTGAAAAAGCCGTGTTGCATGTCAGTAATTCTATTTTTGATTTGGAGAAATAATTTTTCGTTGACAATTGCCTCGAAAAGTTTAGGGATGCAAGAGATAATGGCTATACCACGATAATTACGTACGTCAGATTTTCGGCCAGATTTAAAGATAGGCACTAGGAATGCATAGCTTTTCCAAGTTTTTGGGAAGATTCCAGATTCCAGGGACATATTAAAAATCCAGAACAATGGAGCAGTGAGTTCCATTGCTAGACATTTAATAAATACTGGAGGAATTCCGTCAGGTCCAGGACCTTTTGAGGCGTCTAAATTGTTTAAAACCTGCCAAATATCCTGCACTTGAACTTGATTGAGACCAATGTCCCTTGAAAATTCTGGAAAAAATGCAAAATAATCGCGGTCGCGATCTTCTTCAGAAAATGTCGTATAGATTTCTTGGAAAAAAATTTGCAAATAGATTGCAGTTTTTTTCCGAGCTATCACCGACATTTTCGTCGAGTTGCATTATTGAAGGCAAATTGTCAGATTTTAATTTGGTTTTTACGTAATTAAAGAAGTTCTTTGGACAGGACTTTATTTCATGTTCTGTTTTTGCATTATATTCTTCAAATGCAGTACTGATAGCTAAATTCAGTTGATCGCATATATCCAAATAAATTTATAAATTATTACTACTATTGTGTTTTTTTATAAATTTTATGTGATTTTTGCTTCCGATTTTTCAAGTTTTTTATTTGGCTGTTATACCAGACTGGATTTTGTGTGTTTCTGTCGCGTCTTTTTTTCTTCAAAGGAATTTCGTCTATACCAATTTCGACATTTCCTACATTCCTTAAAATTAATTGCCAATTGACACTGTTTAATTTAAATTTTATTTTTTCGTAGTCTGCTAATTTGTATTCAAAGACTTCTTCATATTCGCAGTCGTTGGGTCTTTGGTTTTCATGCACAAGTAAAGAATATTCAATTGCTGTGTGAAACGCTTCATTTTTTCACAGTGGATTTAATGATTCGGTCACACAGAAATCTTCATAAATATTCGTTAGTAAAAAGTCCAAATAGCAATTTTGTTGGTTTTTGATGTGGTTAATTTGGTTCAGTCCTAAATTAGCAGTTTTGTCAAAAATGAACTGCAATGTTTCATTATCCCCAACGACTGGGAGTAAGATACATTCATTTTCAGAGTCCAGAATGAAGTCAGCATGGCGTTGATTCAAGTCTCCATAGATGTGAACTGATAGCCAATACAACCTGGTATAACTCTGCATTGAGCAAATTCTAGAAAATTGTTTCGCTTAGCTGTAGCAGTGCAAAGAGAAAATCGATGAAGAGAATCGATCATCACCTATACGCCCTTTTGCATGCTCACTATCGAATTTTTTCAGAGATGCATAAAATCAACTCAGTTACAATTTTGCTAAACATTATATGAGGGGGTTAGAAGGAAAGGGGTTTAAGTGACATTGATCGATTCTCTTCATCACAACTTTATAAACAGATTTTGCACTATTTCTGCCACATAGTTTGATCCAGAATGGCACACGAATCATGGAATGTGTTTGCAGCTGAATTATTAACGAAAGAGAATGTCGATGAAGAGAATCGATCAAAGTCACTTACACCCCTTTCCTTCCAACCCCCTCATATGACATATAATGTTCAGCAAAGTTGTAGCTGGCGTTGTGTTTATTTTCTAAAATTAAAAAGTCAGTTTTAGGCTATCAACTGTTTTGAGGGTCACTCTAATGTTTACTACCACCAAAAGAAGGAACTTTTCAAGCACATAAATTTCACCAAAGACACCAAACGTCTAAATATGACAGCAAAAGCTCTAGGACTTCTATTCCCAGGCTAAATTCCCATTCTGGACCACTGTGCGTTGTTGGCCAGTGCATAAATAGTATCTGGCATAAGCGGCATCGGCACAGTTCTAATTTAAATATTTTACGAGTCATCGTAAAACGGCTTGAAAAACGACTTCCCCCACTATTATGAGCGTTTGTCAACAGAACTATGAACCTTTTAGAAATTTTAGTAACGTATCTACTTTCACCATTTCTCGTTTTTCGTAGGCCATTTGGGTGTTTGTCGTTTCGCTGCCAGTGATCATCATCAACTCGCCCCGGCACTCGATTCCCCGAGCACCCAAAACAATGACGACGCTGGATTCCGCCGGTACCGGTATGTTCATAACTGGCTTGCTAGCGGAAACGTACGCCGATCTGCAGAAGTTTTCCTTCCGCCAGGATCCGATTAACCAGGGCAAATTTTGTAATGATGGTAAGTTCCAATTTATCTTCAAATGTGTGTGTTATTAGGCATCGTAAAAGAGGCAAGGATGTTCAAGATTTGTGATAACTCTATGCATGAGGTTTGGGAAAACAAAGCGGAGCTCTTGCCAATTCTATTAAAGTCTCCAAGTCTCCTTTGGTATTATACATAATTCGCAAATATAAACCTAGCCCATCATGGTTTCTCAGGTGACCACATAGTTTTCATTTTACGTGGTGGCCCATCGGGAAAGACTGTGGTTCATATAAATATATGGGTACGTATGAGCCGCAACCAAATGGCACATCGTTAGACGAAGGGTACTTCACTGTTGGTATAATGATATTTGTCTCATGCTCATCTCGTCCGTTTCGCCACACCCGGCAGGGCTCTAATGCCACAAGGGTCAGAAGACGAACAGTGCAGATAAATAAAAGGCGCACGTGTAGGTATGGGTAGAATAAGATACGATAAGAGACTGGGAGAGTTCCGGGTAGCGTCTTAGTTCCTGCATCGAGCGGACTTTTATTGCTTTAACTCTGTCAGTTAATGCCTCCGTTTAACCATTACATAACATGATGATAAACGTAGCTTAGCCGAGGAAGAAGCGCCTTATGATATGGATTTATTCCGTTGCTGTCAACAGCTTCTTACGATTTCAAATCGGTTTTTAGGTTAAGGGTTGATATTTACTCATTGTCTTTCGTGATTTCATGTGTGTTGAAACTAAATACTCATTATTAATCAATACGGACACAGACATAATCCACTTTTGAATGTAAAGACATTTGCTGTTCTTAGAAGCTATCATGCAATCCTTCAAGTTTATTAAGCCCGAAACAAAATTTTCAACAGCTTCATTTAGCTTGGTACAAGCAGAATCAATACAACAAAGCAGACATTTTCCCATTCTCAGAATGATAAACAGGAAAAGCAAATAACTCAAATTGCAGGACACTTTCGATACACAAAGGGAAATATCCTTCCCAGACAAGAAACTAGAATCATCTTTCAACATCCATGACAATCAAACTCTAAAGCCGGAGACAACAAACAATGAGTGGCATTTTACAGTTGGATTTGCCTCTCGAATTGAAAGTGGAGGGCATCTTGTCTTGTGACATAGGATGTCTTCAGCATCTGTGATGTTGTTGTCCGGTGGATTTGTGTACACAAGGTCGAAAATAGTCGGTCGGTATAATCCGATTACGAATTGAAAAATAAATATTGTATCAGATTCAAAGAAAACAAAGTAACGGAACAACGGGTACTCGAAGGCTCGAAGCTAAATTCAAAGATTATGTCATCATCTTGTCGGTTATAGCGCATAAACTATTGTCAGCAAACGTCAAATTTCAACCACTATGATTAGCATATAAATTTTAAAAAAATGCCACTACATTTTTCAGCTCATGGGTGCATCTCTAAAAGGCAACGAAAAAGTGAGGAAAATATATTGATCCTCGGGCCCCTTTGTGGTTAAGCAATGGAAAACAGAAATATAACGCTGTCTTGATGGTTGGCGAGATGCGATAAGATTAATGATTGGCATTAGAAAGAATGATGACAATGACACATACAAGCAATGTTAATGAAATATATCAGAAAAAAACCGCATGAAAATATAATAAGGGAAGAGAACTTGCCTAGGAACAGAAAGTGGATCACATTCTGATATGGGAAGGTCCATTAATTGTGTCACGCCCTTTTTGAACCCCCTCCCCCCTTTGTCACATTTTTTGTATGGACCTTAAATGTTTTTTGTATGATTCTTCACAGTTTCCAATACCCCCCCCCCTTCTCTAAAAGTGTGACATAATTAATGGACGATCCCTATTATGCGTTGATATTCATGGGTTCCAGACAGAGATCTAAATTCTCGCTCAGCTGCAAGATAAGCGACGCATCACTCAAGCTGCTTTTCGTTAAGGTTACCATATCAAAAACTTGAAAAGGAGGACATTTCATTTGAGGTTTGGAGATTAAGGAGGACAATGATTCCTGTCTTAGCATTAACGTAGGGCAATGAGTTTTTATCAAAAGTTTTAATAATATGTGCGCTATCACTAAATGCATGATTTGCAGAGGTTCAATTTAGATTGTTCATAACTTGTAGTCTTTACCAATTCAATTCATCTTTTCGTTATACTTCTGAAAAATGCATCAAACTAGCCTTGATAATTCATTTTTGATACTTGGAAATGATCGAGTATAGCTGATTTGCATGAAAACTACAACTTGACAACTTTAAAATCATCCCAACTTTTATCATGTACAAAAATCAGGATACATGTCATCGCTGATTGGAACCAACATGGAACATCTAAGCAACCTGTTAATGTTACCATTGATTCAGCATGGGACTCTATAAGGCCGCTGTCATAGTGGGAGCGAAGAGGCACGCTCAGCGTTCTATACAAAAGAATTCCTATTATGGATATTATTCCTTACATTAGGTTTCACGTTCAAATCGATGTATCTGCTTTTGTAGAAAATCTCTTCAATCGACGGTTTGTCTTAACTGCTAACTCACCCAAGCATACAAACACCATCATAAGGCAGGGGAAACTTTCGCCTACTAGCTGGTGTTGTTAGTTTCTTGAGTGAGCTTGCAATTGCCACAAATCGTCAATTTTGGCTGTGTTCCATTTGATGAATTTTCACTTAAATTTGACGGATGGTAAATTTTCAAATAAACCTGCTATTGCACCAAACTTATTTCTGACAAACACCTCGAAAATCACACGATCGATAACAGAGAGATTTTCGAACGTTATAATTTATTTTAAAAATGTCAAATATGAGTAAAAATTCAGAAAAATTGATGAATTTTCACTGACCCTTCGAAAATAAATTATAATGTTCGAAAATCCCTCTGTTGTTGATCGTCCGATTTTCGAGAAATTGTTTGTCAAAATTGATTCCTGGTTTGTCTGAAATAAGTCTGGTAGAATAGTAGATTTATTAGGAAATTTTCCATGTGTCAAATATAACTTAAAATTCACCAAATGGACCGCAGCCTAAATGTAGGGGAATTGACAGCTGTAGTATACTCCTAGTCCCACCATCGAATGGCATTTGCTACATAAGATGAGGTTCCAAAATAATTAAACAAATAAGCTCTGCAAACAACGCTCTTTGGAAACAATTTTATGAATATGTTACTGGAAAAAATGCAAGGATTAAAAAAGAGGACATTTTCGGGCATAAGGAGGATATAGAAAAATTATTGAAAAAGGATGGCATGTCCTCCTTTAGGATAGTATATCGTAACTCTACTTTTCGCAGAGTTGAGAATCGACAATATTTTCATTTCGCATTCTTCAACGATTATTCATTTTCCTCTGCCATGTGAACAATGAAAATATCGCACTCTCAAAATCGGTGAGAACACTTTTTCATATCCCATTCGACACCGAAAATATTCGATAGTGTGTTGCTGGAGTCCGAGCAGGAGTACTGTAAATGAGCGTTTGAGCCCAATGTGATGTAAACAGGGGAGTCGATATGATTTGTTTCGGCTCCTTTGTTCGCCTGCTGTTTAAGGCTCTGAACCATTTGGCGAATTTTTTAACTTTTGGTTAAAATTTGACAGATGGAGCATGGTTATTTCGGACCGACAAGAAGTTAAATTTTGATAACTGTGGCTCGAAAACCGGTCGATCGACAGCTTTTAACCACGAGTTAAATTTAACTCGGTAAATGGTTCACAGTCTAAGGCTGTGAACCATTTGGCGAGTTAAATTTAACTCGTGGTTAAAAGTGACATTTCGAAAGTTATTCTTGATGTTCGAAAATCCCTGTGCTGTCGATCGACAGGTTTTCAAAAAGAACTCAGCCACGGTTGTCAACATTTAACTTCTTGACTGTTAGAAATAAACACACTCGGATAGCAGGGATAATCGATAACTTTCCATCTGTCAAATTTTAACCAAAAGTTAAAATAATCGGTTTGAATGTCCCCTAATAAAAAATATAAACAAACGATAACCCAAATGGTATACAGGAACCTGAGTAATTATTAATAACAACAACACAACATCAAATAAAGATTTCAATTTGATCTCAGACTTTGCTCGGGGTACACGACAAACGCCAGAGAAGTATATTAGTGGATTGACAATATAGTTCATTTTCCGAAATGACAAAAGCTGGTTTGTGTGACAAAATTTGATGATATTGATATTGCTTCTCACAGCCGTTAGGTAATCGCCTCCTGTCAAAGTTCATTCATGTGTTGAATCAGAAACGTCTAATAAAACTCTCTATATATGACGAAAATTGAAAATATATATTTAAAGCATTTCTCATGTGAAAGCACTTGATGATTACATGTAATATGTTTACTTTATCTTCCATCCACATATGGGTCATTCCACGCCAAGTGTCCGAGGCACTTGAAATTGACCTCTTCCGATTTGGACCAAATTTAGAGATGTTTATTTTGGTCTACCTTTAATGAATCCAATCGAATCCCTCGGCCCAGGGGAGCATTTTCTATTTTTAGTGATTTTCAAGAAAGCACTAATGTGTTTTATCAATATCTTCGAAACAAATAAAGCTACATATAACATTTTAGAGTGAGTTGGTTGGAAATGCTATCTAGCATGAAGCTTTAGTGCGATGATTTATTAGCTAGAGGATAGTCTGAAGAGGGTACCCACAAAGAATTGAATAAATGATTTTTTGTCCATTTTATTCAACTGCATGCTTAATAGTTCTTGTACTATTTTTAATAATAACTTCTGTTCAGGCTTTGTTCACACAAATGTGGAGAATTTATTCAACCAAAACATTGAACTACTTGGTATTATATAAGGTATGTCGAGAAGCTTTTATTCGACTTATATGAGTTGTAATAGAGTTTATACGATAACATTTTTGATTATTCGGCGTTTATTAGACATCACTGCTTCCTTAAAACAGTGATGCTCTGTATACGCTTGATTCTCATGTGAAGTAACGATTAATGAGACATTATTATACATTATTAACCCAAAAATAAGAGGGACGGGGACAGAGAATGGTTTGTTTCTTACGTGATTGTTTTCGTTATTTCTGACGTGGCTCGCCAAACATAGATATTAGAAAATTTATTATATACATATACATGTCGTTGCATGGGACTCGAACCATGTACCTTCCGATCACCAGCCGCTTGCCTTGTCATCTGAGCGAAACGTGATTCGATACTTCGTCCGTTACCGTTGGACTTTTGAGCATTTCATTCATTGAACTTTCGCAAAATACTTCCTGTTAACTTTCGTCAATCGCTTCCTGTGAACTTTGGAGAATCATGTTCCATGAACTTTCTTGCATCACTTCCGTTGGACTTATCCTTATTGATTTCCGAGGAATTTCAGCCGAGCTGATGAGATCAGTATCTTTCAGCTCAAAGATTGCTCGCGATGGCTTTGATGTTGGTTCAAACTTGTGGACATTTTTATGTGCGCAACGAAGTTCGATAACTTCCATTGTCCGGATTTTTCTGGCCAACATGAAATGTAGCTAACTGCTGCTGCCAGCATCTTCATGATAGCTCTTTAGCAAGAAAACGAAAATCTGCGGGATTGTTTTCAAAATTTTCGAAGGACTTCAAAAGATCTCTGTTGGTTGTGTTAGTTGACACTCGATGAACGTCTTTTTCAATGTTGGCGATTTCGTGGTCGTCGATATTCCCCAATGCAGCGTTCAAATAACCCGTGTATTCTAAGACACACTTTACGGGAAGCGGGATCCTACCCACATCTTTCTCGGCTGCTTTCCAAAACTCCTCCTCCGGAAGTAGGTTTCTTGTGTTTATTTGTATTTTTAAATTAGCAAACGTTACTTACCATTATTGTGACACTAGCATTCACTTCCTCACTTGTATTGCTAACTGTAGTTACATTCACTGCACTTACTTAATCAGTTATTTTTTTAATAACCCTTGAAAATCGACCAAATTCGCAGTCAAACTCTATTTTGAAAATGGAGTTTTTTTCCTGCGGCTTGCAAAGCTGCTACAGTTCATTCGCTGTCTCGCCTGCTGTTACCTTTTTTCTCACTTTTATGTGGTCATTCAGAAAATTTTCTATAAGAATGGCAATCGAACTGTTTCGCAGCTCAATAAGGAAAAAGACTAGAAGGCAATGAACAAAAAGTTGAGATTTCCTATAGTAATTTACATGTAAACTTCAAATGGCTTGTGCGAAGTCTGTTTCTAACCAAATGAGTTTAACTTTGGGAGGCTAATCAGGACCCGATTTGAAACCATTTAAGCACTGTGGAGCGAAAAAGTCAAATTTTGCATCAGTCTATTGAGCATAATCATAAGACATCAGTTACTTGAATCCTTAATAATTTGTGTTCCTTAAATTTGATTGAAAAGTGGTCTAGAAGAAAGTTGTAGCTAAGAAAATTTTCAACAAGCTCAGCTATCATTATCTAAAGTAGAGTAAACTGGTGAATTTTGAGACAGATATGAACCGAAATTATGGTTTCTCCATAGTAATTTCCATATAAACTTCAAATGGTTTGTGCCAACTTGGCACTGCCAAGTCAGTTTCTCACTAAATGAGTTCAAATTTTGGGAGGCTAATCAGGGCCCAATTTGGAACCGTTTGAGCACTGTGGAGCAAAAATTTCAAATTTTGCATCAGTATAATGTGTCATCTCCATTATGACGCAATCGAACTTACGCTTGAAAACGTTGGCCACTCTTCTACCGGTTGCTGTGGCATCCTGGTTTCGGTCTCCTACTGATCCTGGTTTCCTAGTAGTCGTCAGACGTTCCCCAAACACTTTAATAACGTTTGTAACAGTCGATTTGGCCACTTTTAGAGATTTTTCCTAGTATGCGTAGGAAAAAAATGGGATTTTGTTTATGCGCGAACAAAATTTTGATATGCTGTTCCTCTTGCTTCGACGCTATTTTGACAACTGAATATTAAATGATAATAACAAAATATAGGAAACATTCCGTACTTACTAAATGAGAGATGTTTAAGTTTTTAAGTGCACGATTAGAAAAAATACATCAAATTTTAGTCGACGAATTTTTGACCGTTCCACCCTTTAGATAATTCTGAGATAATGTCTTGAGATGGATTTAAAGGAATTTATGAGGAGAAAAATGAAAGTTCTGAATTGTATTACTAGGTAATTCTTAAAATAATTCCGTGGGAGTTGTGAAAAAAACATTAAAGAAAATTCCAATTCTGAGTAGAATTGTATGGGGCTTGTAAGAAGAATATCGAGTGAATTTTATTAAATACTAGCTCAGTATGCCCGGCCTTGCTCGGGATTAAATATTAGCTTGCGTTTATGCGCTGATTAAAAAAAAAAGCATGCTATATTGTAGGTAGCCCCCCCCCCCCTCTTATCCAAGGGGCTACCCCTATGAACATCTTCTTATACCACGACATACCAAATTTGGAGCCCCCCTCATCCTTACAGAGGGGGAGAGGTCTCAAACCATCATAAGAACCTTTCACTGCCCCAAAAACCCCTTTATACACATTCCGAGTCTATAAGGGTCAGACAGACAGATAGACAGACAGAAATTCATTTTTATATGGTTGCTCCTATAGTTGCGGTACGTTAGAAGCGTCAGGTTCCTATAAGTTGTGTATTGAGTCTCTATGCACAACTATAGGAGCCTAACGCTTCTAACGTACCGCAACTATAGGAGCGTTTCCCCTATATAGATTAACAGAATGTGGTGTTCTGAGCATAATTTCACAAGAGAATCAATGAAGATAGTTTTCTAGTCTCGTGCAGTCTAGTCTATTCTACAATAGGGTAAACGCTCCTATAGTTGCGGTACATTTGAAGCGTTAGGTTCCTATAGTTTTGTATTGAGTCTATAGGAACCTAACGCTTCTAACGTACCGCAACTATAGAAGCGTTTGCCCTAATAGGATTCTTGAGGAGAGTTTTGATTAACTTTGAATAATTTTTTTAAAATGTTTTCAAAGGAATTGTATTCTCAGGAAAATATTAAATACATTCTATGGGGGATTCGATGAAATTCTTAGAGGATGTTTAAGGGAATTCCGAATAGAGGTACGAGAACTGTTCCAAGAGTAATTTCTTGTGAGTTTCAAGAGAATCCCATGATTAATCTAATCAGATTTCAAAGGTAATTAGGTAAAAAAAAATAGTGTTTTTTAATAGGTTAATATTAAACCATGTTGAAAAGTAACACATAAGTTGGTAACGTTGAAATCTACAAGACTCAGAGCTCATGGCGATTTCAGAAATTTATTCATCGCAAGCTTTATAATAAGTTGGTGCAAAAAACACATCAGGGGCTGTCCATAAACTACGTACACATGTTAGGGCGTGGGAGGGGAGTGGGAATTATCCACGGTCCATACAAATAAAAAAAAAATGTTATGGACAATTGTCTACGCAGGGGGAGGGCGAGTCAATAATCACAAAAAAAACTGTCTGCGTAGCGAATGAACAGCCCCTCACCAGCTAGAATAAGCTTGTACATTCATAAACAATAAAAGCAATATATAATTTTAGTGACCATATATTAAGGTCTTTTGATTTCTCCCGGTTCTCTCGTCTAATTCCCGGGGTTTTCGCAGTTTTCCCGCATACTTGCCAAATTCCTGGTTATTTCCCGGTTTTCCCTATTAGCTGCCCATCCTGTCATTGTCACTGACAGTTTTCAAGCGATATTGACCAAATAATGTTTGACATCGTCACTAGAAGAAATGACTCCCACTTCGTCAAAATCGCATTAGTTTTTTTTTTTTGTCAGTGACAAAGATTTCCCTGGTAATAAAAAGTGTAATGTGTAACATGCACACATTCTCTTTCTAATCATTACTGTAAATGCAGTTGAAGCCGTATTTAGGTTTACTTTGACGGATGTATGGATTAATGTTATTTTATTCATTTTATTTAGTTAGAAATTTAGCTGAAAACGAAACATACACATGTTTTTCACTGACAAATGACATGGCATCCTTTGAAGATCATTCTCATTTCGTGACAGTGACGAAAGCTGCTTTGTCAATTTCGTCGTGAACGGTCGGGATTATTTTGCAGCACTGCATGACTGTGAGACAAACTAAAGAAACTGACAGAAGAAAAAACCTTCTATTTTTAAGTTTCTCAAGTAGAGATAAAAATAACAGTTTTCCATACATTATACACTATGCCTTTGATCACAAGATTACCGACGGTACCATCTTTCTCACGCTCACTCTTTTGAAGCAAGCCACCGCGAGGATATAATGTTCATTGAATTTTTATGATATGCTGGAATGCTAACGCTCATTTCCACACGTATGTGGATCAATGATTTATTCATAAATTTGATTACCAAACACGACCCGACGAGTGAAGTGAGTGAAATAACACTTTCTCCATCTTTTCCATTTCTTTTCTTCACCTCGTTCCCACAGGACTCTGGCGGATGTCGCGGCATCCCAACTATTTCGGCGAGATCGTTATTTGGTGGGGAATCTTCGTTATCTCGCTGAACGTAATCGATGGCATCGAATGGGTGGCAATCATGTCGCCAATCTTCACAACCCTCATCATCTTGTTCCTGTCGGGTATTCCGGTGCGAGAGCGGTCGGCGGACGAGAAGTACCGAGAGTGAGTTTCAATTAAATTATTTAATGATGGTGCACCCCGCGTCTGCCTGACTAACGAAGCTTCTCGTTGGGAAATAATGTTCTTGCTATGTACTTTGTGAAAAACTTTTCCGGTTATAGAGCAATGTGTTTGTCGATATGCACACCGTAATTCGTTGCCAGCCGTTAAGCACTAATTGTCTCTTCCGCTTTTCTACAGTGATCTGGAATATCGAAAGTACAAAGCGTGTACCTCGCCACTGATTCCAATCCCACCGGCAATCTATTCGGAGGTTCCAAGGGCGCTGAAGTTCATCTTGTGCTGTGAGTTCCCATTCTACAATTCTTTGGACAAACGGAGAAAAGAGGAGGGCCCATTTGCCATGACTACCTCTATATCAGTGGCTCACTCACATTCGACACACACATAGCAATCGGGAGGCGGACAACATAACCACAATTATCCTATGTCGTCGTCACACCAACACCACCATCACCACCACCAGCATGCCCAACCTCATCAAGGTGGGGGATCCTCAAAAGACCGAAACTCCATCGGGCGAGCGGCTAGTTATTCGTCGAGCCACCGCAGCGGTAGCGAACGGCGCGGTGAAAAGTCGCTCCACGGCAGTCGTGACTTTGAGGACATCGTTCCGGAACGGATTACCTGCATTACCAGCTGCGATGGCAACTATATCACCGGCTCGGCACAGATTACTACAATTTTGTGATCTCGTTCACTGTTCAATGTTAACTACTGCTATACAAACGGTATACATAGACAAAAAGCGTTATATGAAATTGTGTTTAGAGATTTATTGGTTAATGGTTGCAGCATTGCGTTAAATTTAAGATAAAAGTGAGAAAATGCCAACTTTGAATTGCCAAGAGCGCCAGCGCTTGATTCTGAATTACTGCAAGGAGATCTTGGAAGAAGTTAACATCTAATAAAAATTGGACTTGAAAATTGATACCTACACTGGCCTATTTACAAAACCCTATGCGTTGTAGCTTTTGTCTCTTTCGAGTAATTTTCAGGTTTCTCACGGTAAATCCCTCTATAGAAATCAAACTACGATTACTTGATTCTCCTGTAGCTGCCTAGTAGAAATATCAAATCAAATATCTGAAAAAGGTTCAACAGAATATAAACTAACACACAATACTCTCAACGTGTTAGAATGCAGGTGAAAACAAATTGGAGAGCTGCAGAGCTGATTTCGATGCAAGTATCGCTATCATATAGTGGTACACTTGTTGAACAACGGTGGTGGAAGCTTTGATGTTACTTAATTCACCCACTTTGAACCGACTGTTACTGTGTACCTTTGGTTCCGTTTTGGCTTCTCAGTCTATTGTTGACCGAAGCAACTATACATATGTTTTCTTGGATCAATAGGTGATTTGATTTACAACAGACTGAGTAGCCAAAACGTAATCAAAAGTAACTTAATTCAGTCACAATAAAGTTGCTGCGCTTTTCTGCGGCATTAGTGTGCTGGGTAGGGGTAAGAGGGGCACAATGAACCGGTGGGGCAGAATGAGCATTCCGCACTCTAGTCGCAAACCTCTAATTGTTCGAAACAAATTAATTGTATATCACCATTGCAATGATTAATGACCATGAGAAATCCAAAGCTAAAGTACAGGAAGCTATGCATCAAGTTCACTATGCCCCTCCTACCCGTAAATGATGACGGTGCATGCTACAACATGACATGTTTCAAAACAAACGCAAAGAGTGTACGATTTGGTAATTTTTATAGGTCTTTACTGAATTGGATGGGAGTGGAATTAGAATCTCGCTAGCTTTCATCATGAGTGGTACGTTCAACACTTTTTCTTGTAATCATTTGAATCTTGGGATATTTTGCTTCGGGAGTCAAATACCGTTAAATACACAGTTGAAACACCTCAGACGCATAAAAACAATCTAAACACTTATAAATAACGAATCTTACTCGTGACGGAATCCATCTTTGACATAAAGGATGAGACGTAAACAAACATGTCATGTAAAATTAAATGCTCCGAGACTTAAAAGTTCGAAAGTATGTTTGATTAAGCTGAATGTTTCGTCTATTATGACTCAATTTTATGTCAAAATTGTCGCTCGTATATGACAGTCTCCGAGCTCCAAAATTTACATTAATTTTTTTATATGTATAACTACAAGAGCACACAATGACTAAAGTACAGCAAGGCTTCAATATACCGGCACATGGTCCAAAAATCTAGGCACTTTTATAATTTAGTTCTACAGGCCAAATGTGATCTAATTACCACGTAAATTTTATTATGATCCTGATATTTTATAATTTTCAACTACAAACAGGAGCAGGTTTTTGAATATAGAATTACACGTTTAAAGAACAATAATTCAATGAATTCAAACTGAAATTTACATGTCCATGTAACTGTATATATTTAAACGTTGGAAATTCAATTAATGTCTATTGAACTTTTAACTGACATGTAAGAAAACTGATGCATGTAACATTCAATACATTCAAGTTAAATTAAAGTTGAATTGCTGTATGTTTCAACCAAGGCCAGAAAATAAAGTGTGTACCGTTTAAAATCCACACACACAAAATTCATTCTCAAAATTCGAGTTTTTATCCGACTATCACCAAGTTTTCAGGGAGTAAAAAGAAACAATTGAAATTAGTTTTGGCATCATTCAATTAATTTATTTCACCTTTACATCCGAGTGCGCGAACCTTGGCCTTAACCCCAGCCATAAGGTTCTGCAAGTCCTCAGAATCGACAGTTTTTTGCATATTAACCCATGCTTTCTTCATGTCTTCTATATTCTTCACCACTTTAGTTCGTTTTAGAAGGTGCTCCTTCATAATGCCCCAGTATTTTTCTATTGGACGCAGTTCCGGAGTGTTTGGGGCGTTCAAATCTTTCGGCACGAAATCGACATCATTCGTCTTATTCCACTCTAGCAGGTTCTTCGTGTAGTGGCATGATGCCAATTCTGGCCAAAAGATCGTCAGACCGTCGTGAGCCTCCAGGAGAGGGAGAAGCTGCTTTTGGAGACACTCTTCCAAATACACCTGTCCATTCATGGTGCTTGCGGTAACGAAAGGTGGCTTTCCGTAAGTACAAATTACTTGCCAAATTAAGAACTTATTGGCGAACTTCGACATCTTCTGTGTCCGGAGGTTCTCGAGAACATCATACTTATCCTAGGCAGTCACATACAGGTTTCCTGGAACGTGGTTGAAGTCTGCCTTCACATATGTCTCGTCATCCATTACGCAGCAGTGTGGTTTCGTTAACTTCTGGTCGTACAACTTCCGGGCACGTTTTTTTGCGATCGTATTCTGTAACTTGTCGCGGTTTGGGGACTTCTGAACCTTAAAAGTACGTAGTCCAGCTCGAGTTTTGGTATTCTGCACAAAAGTTTTGCTCACATGCAACTTTTTAGCCACATATCGAACTGAGGCGTTCGGTTTCCGTTTGAAGGCTCCAACCACGCGTTTGTGATCGTTCTCGTTGACCTGACAGCTTTTTTTCCGGATCCTCGCTTCGGATCAACGTTCTTTGAACCGTTTTATGATACCAGACACCGTGAAATTTGCGATTCCCAACATTTTTCTCATGGCACGATGCAAAAGATCCTTATTCTCAAAGTACTCGTGCAAAACTTTTTCAAGCACGCACTGTTCTTTCGTCGCCATTTTGAAAACTTTTGCGCTCCTGATAAAATCAACTCACAGAGTGTAAACAATATACATTAAACTATGTCTACGCAAAATTTCAATTAGTTTTACCCAACGGATCAAAATTTAGAGCAATTTGAGTTTGTGCGGATTTTAAACGGTACACCCTTTACATCAATAAGGTGATCCAAGAGACGCTTCTCAGTGGAACTGACTGCTAGAAATCTAGAGTGTGTGAGTGATCTGGAGTTAATGGTGTTGAATGTAAACATAAACACAGCAAAAATTCATATGAGAATAAACTGCCAGTTCTACCAACAATCAATACGAAACTAACTATTTTAAACTGGCTCACTAGTGCTACACTATGTTTGTTTTGATTCGCTATGAAAGTTTGACAGATAAAATTAGTAGTTCGTGGAATTTCCTGTTTCGAGGGGTGCATCGATTAGCTTGGGACCGAAGATAGTACCAGAGCTGAGCCAAAAAGTTGAGCACATTTCTTCGGGACCTAAATTCTTGGTAAAAAAAAGTCAGTTCATCGCAACTGTCTCGTGGACAGCCTTATGTTCCAATTATAAATTAAAAAAAATTAACTGTCCAACTTTTTTTTTCCCTTGATTTGTTTTCCGTCGATCTTGTTTTTTTATGCTGAGCACCAATGCTACCGACACAAGGGAGGCGCCGCTTGCTGTGTAACATTATTATAATTTTATTAAGTGGATGTAATAGGTATTTAATTCAAACATAAATTTACCGGCATCAAAAGCGTCGTTGCATTCGGTGCACTTCGGCACACTGCCTATGAAAGCATAACAGTCACACAGCGAATCCAAATACAAAAAGCAGCCAACGATACAGACAGATACAAACGTTTCATACGGATACGACTGCCACGACAAACTCTGTCTTTGCAACACAGCTCGATCGAAGTGGTAGAAGGATAAGGGCATCTTTAGCGGCGATCCAATTGGTTGGTTTGGTCTAAAATTTTGGAACTGTCCCAGGCCGAGCCCTTGCACTGGTGGTCTATATTTTGTTTTAGACTAGTTCTTAAATGTAATTTTTTTAAACCAGTATAATTCTCGATCTATTTTGAACTGAATTTGGATCAAGGCAAGCACTGTTCCAAACTAGTTTGACAGCTGTCGCACTCGAGATTTTGTTTTGTTTTGTTTCGTTGTTGGGGTTTTTTCTGCAACACAAACCGATTTAGATCCCCGATTTTCTAAGAAAGTGGGCAGAACAATCGACTCCTGTTGACATTGGTGTAGTTCCAGCTCTATCACGCTATCGGTGCTGCTGTTGCTGCCGGCCCGGTCGTCGCAGCTGCGAAAGGATCACAAGGGAAACATCCGGACGCTTCTGTTCTGCAGGATTTTTTCGGGCATTTTATGGAAACTCCCAGGGAAGTAGCCAGTTGCTGACTTGGTCCAAAACTCATCATGTGACACATCAAATCACATTAGATTTCAAAAGCAATAATCAATGGTAGTCAAATATAATGCACAGAATCATGTTGACCCCTATCGGATATGTTCAGGGCACCTCCAAGGAAAAGGCCAGTTTCTGATTTAATCCAAAACCCATCATGCTCCACATAGCAAATCACATTAGATTTCAAAACCAAGATCAATGGAAGTCAAATAATGTGCCCAGGACCACCTTTCTTACTTCCAAGCATCTTTCAGCAACCCCTAGGGAAGTGACTAGTTTCTGATATGGTCCAAACCCTGTGATTTGACACATAAAATCTCACAGAAATTGAAAAAACAAGATCAGTTTAAGTAAAATATGGTGTCCAGATCCACATTGGCCACATTCTGGTATGTTCCGGGTACCCCCAGAGAATTGTTGAGTTTCTGACTAGGGCCAAAACCCAACACGCAACAACATACCAGACAAATTTCAATAAATACAGGTTTTTATTATTATTTCACTGGGAAGCACGAGAAGCAGGAGGACGAGCAGTTCAAGGCTTTTTGGTCAAGCCGCACATCAATCCCAGAGACAGCCATCGGAGGTCAATTTCACGGTAATTGCCGGATAAAAACCGTGTACGAGCTTAAAAAATGGCTGACCACGAAATCAGGGTGTGAGTTGGTTATTACTCGGGTTTTGACGTTTGAAATAGAACGGCCAAAAATAGACCAACCGGTGCGTACGCACACAGTTTGATCTATTTTGGCTTGATCTTTTTAATTTTAGCTGGTTCAAATGTGACATAAATTTGGATCTAGATCAGACCACCGCTAAAGATGCCCTAATGATATAAAGGAATTTACGTATTATCGGCAATCTAAGCAGCGTTCGCGCTTCAATAGACTTCTCTGACGTTTATGAATTGCACAAGTATTAGCGAAGAACTTTGGGTGAATTCTAAGTTTTTCTTGCACTAATTCTTATAATTTATCCCAAGTTTTGCACTAATACTTGCGCATTTCAAAAAATGAAATCAAAAATGAAATTTTGCGCTTTTTTTTATCAAAACAATCACACCAAAATCAGCAAAATGTAATTACTAGATTAACAACTAATCGATTATTTTTTGTTCGCTGTGCTGTCATTTTTCCACCAATGAGAGTGCAGCACATGTTTGAAACGATCGGTGATGATCCTCTCGAGAAGTGAATGACGAGGGGCACGCAATACAAAGAACCGGTGCGTTGAAGTTAAAATGCAATCAAAAGTACTTAAAGTAATTAATAAGTTTTGAAGTAGTACTGACTGTAATTAAAATTAACTATCCGTACTTAATGTAAATAAAAGTATTGAAAATGTAATTAATGTACTCTAATAACGAAAAGTCGACTTCATTAATGGACTTAAAAAGTCGTTAATGTTCTACACTGTTTAATTAATGTAATTAAATCAGTAATTAATGGAATTTATTTAATTCCAGCCGTTGCTTGCGTCGGAGTTAAAGGTT